TGGGTAACTATGTAATACGAATATGCAATGTCCGTCTACCGTGCAGAAATCCAATTTTTTTAATATATATATAGATATATATATAGATTTCATGCAAAGTATCCCCTAATTTTATTTGTCAATATTAATAGTCATGTACCATATATTCTCATATAATATATCATCCTCATAAACGTCTCGAGTAATATTACTAGTTATATCAAGCACGTTATTCACGTTTTCTTTCTCCTCCAATCAGGCATACGTATAAATGCAGTATCCCTACATCAAAAATACCCGGGGGTACTTGAGTCAGAGAAATACGCTACACACCAAGCTTTCAAAGGCAAGTTCGGGCACACAAAACGGTAATACGCCAATATGAGTGCAGTCATAGTTACACTACAGTATTAGTATTCCTGAAAATTGTAAATTTAGAATAACGAAAGGTTACACGATTTGCAATGCATCCGATTATGTATTTGGTTAAAGGTAGTAATTGCTAGTGGTGTAATAATGAATAAAAGTCCCTCACGATAGTAATAATGTCGAAAATATTATTAAAGCATACGAAATTTATTGCTATTCTTTGAGAATATGCATAGCTTTGCTATATTATTTCTGATTCTTATCGCTACCGTCCAAGTAGCCGAAGCCACAACGGAGACTCAAGTTATTACACCCTACTCTGAAATTCATCCAACGTTGACAAGTAGCTCTGTTACTACTGCAACATTTTCGGGGAAAACTCACGACCTAACAAATAAATCACTGTCCGACAGTTTGGAGATATTCATTTTTAATTTGATAGTTGGTATTTTCGCCGTCTGGCAGTCTATGATCAGTACCTACAAGTGCATCAGACGACGGAGGTCTATTCCGACAACTAGTTCGATTTCGACTGATATGGGACAGAGTGACAGAGACACAATAACGGCTATAATGAATATAGATAATGTAAACAGTATAAGCAATATAAATAACGTATACATCCGAAGGCGGATTGATGTTCAGACTGATCTTGAGCAGAGGCGCGCTGGCTTTACTATGAATGTACGTAATGTTGATAGTATAAATAACGTAAATAACGAAGTCGTAATACCATTGGACTTGAATGTAAGTATTTATCATTGTAGTCTCCTATTTCGAATGGTAGACTTTCGCTTTGCTAAAGATGTTGCCTGCTTCATTCTCTAGTGTTGAGAAACGCTGGAACTCTACGTTTATTTCGACTATTGGCTATTAACAGTTCGGACATTAATCCATAACGTTGAAAGCACAAAAGATTAATTAATAGGCGAAGTTTATGGCTTGGTAAATGGGATGCAATCCCTTAGGAGATAGTTAATAACTTATTCTTTGTAAAAAGCATAACGCTTTATTGAATAATGCCATATATTCATATTAAACTATATCTTGATCCAAACCCAATGTTTTTGCTGGAACAGGTGGGTAAAGAATAAGCAGAGAGACCATTGCATGATACTCCGACTAATGATGGAGATTAGATTGTGCAACAACGTTTAATTGCGCAGTTTGCTTACTGCGCCAAACATCAATTATTACATTGCCCACCTCCACATCCTCACTTACACAACATCAACTCTGGTTAATACGATCCCTGCAGTCAGCAGCCATACTCACTCTCTGTAATTCCTTTACTACAAGGGCTTTCGGACATGACCCCACTCCTTCCCACACCGACATCATTAACTCTATGCTAGGACGTCTTCTTTACTTCTGCTCCATAGACATACATACAGACCCACTCATTCCCTGGGTCCCCCAATAGAATAAAGTCTCTCATTAATATATCTAAATTAAATTCAGTAAAAGCACCAATAGCAACCATCTGAGCTTTGACGACTTCGGGATTAGCCGCTTCAAAAAGAGAATGTTGATTTTTGTAAACCATTCAATAAGGAATTAAGATCTAAGTATTGAAAACCTTTTCCGTTATCGTAACGCTGAGCTTTATTTAATCCAGCTGTACTCGATTTTTTTACCTCAACAATATGATTCACACAATCTACAGTTGTTTTTCTATAAAGCTTTTTAATCAATCCAAAACTACCATAACACTTGAATTTAGTACGCCCAGACCAGGCACCATAAAATTTAGTTCGATACTTTCATGATAACCGCAAATTACCAAATACGGATAAAAATCAAATGGGAGCATTATCTTTATTCTGTCCACCCGCGTTATCACAAGTAATCTTTAAATGTTTTTCGCCTTTATTCAATTCTTTATTCCATCGAATACCAAGCTCAGTGTGCCAGCCGATAATTTCGTCTTCATCGAGAACATAATTAATTTGCTCGCGCACTGCTTCATCTTGAATACCAAATAAATGCACTTTACGTGGACTAAGATAATAAATTTTACTTACCTGTTGATCGGAGTACGTGAATGTTTTGTGCTCAATCGGAACTGCAATGGGCAGTAGCATCAGCGCTACAATAATCAGCTTTACCTCTTGTTCTAAAATTCTCATCTACTAATTTCCTCTGTTGTTCTCTAATTTCGTATTTTTGTTGTAATAGTTTCTTTCTAATTTAGCCTTACCCAGATGTTCTTTGTATTTTTCAATAAATCTTTTACCTCTTCTTTCTTACGAGCATTATGCTGTAAGCCATTCCGAAAATGTTAGCACGTGTCACATAAATCCGTTCTTGGACTCATGATTTGAATGTAAGGCGTTAATTGGTGTCATAACTTGCGAAACGCATCATATTTTAACAATTTTTCAATGTGCTATCGTTTTCAAGACCTGCAATAAAATCACGACAGACTGACTTGTAACTTGTTTTAGCCGGCAAAAAAGTAAGCGATTGAGTAATGCGATTGACATTTTTACCAGGACATTGGTAGCCCATGAATTTCAGCATAGTTTTCGAGAAATTCTTCGCGACGGTAGCAATGGTTACATCAATGGTTATTTTGGTTTTCCATCGCGGCACTTTTTTTACATTACCATGAACGCGCGGTATTATACCATTCGTTGCTAGATGATTTATGACGTTTCCCAAATGAGTGCGACCGATTCCCAACATGTTGAGATACGTTTTCTGGCAAAGAGGCGTATTGCAATCTCAATAATAAAAAGTTCTTTTACTAGTACCCGTTTTCTTTTTAAGATGTCGACTGGCAGTTATTTCTCCGCCATTCATTGCCTAATTGCAGACTTGATACAAATTCCGCATCCAACACATATGCGTTTTAATAAATACTCTCTCACACCATAACTTCCGCTTACTACACCGCTTGGCGGCAGTACAAAATATCCATCACAAGGAACAAGCGAGTCGTTTACTTTTTTACAAGCGTTCTGCGGGCCACTGCAGGGAAGGCTGCTGCCCGACTGTGCTATAATAAGAGGAATAATAGAGAGAAAAAGGATGTAATAATAGTAAATCTAGCCATTTCGAATAAGACTTTCCTCGCGATTAACTGTATTTTTTTTTTCATATTAATAGTAATAATTTTTATCATTCTTGTTGTGATGCTCGCTACGTTGGCGATCTCCAGCCCAATTCCAGAACTCGATGAGAGAGCTCCTCCCGTTATAAACGTTCCATCCGCGGGTCCAGATTCCCGTACCATTGGCTCTACACAGAATGTCAGTTGGTGGAGCAATGATTTTAATAGGATGTAACTTTTGGTGGTTTTTTTTTTTTTTAGAATAAATCGAATAATAATTTAAAAATGTAAACCTTTTTTCCTTTAGATGGCGTTATAATCAAGATAAAAGACCTCAGCGGTAAAGCCGTGAATACATTTTTTGTAAGTTGATTTTTTTGCTAATCAGATGATTTACAAACTTGGGAAATTTGTCTAAAGTATGTACTGTATATTATTACTCTCTAGGGTATCAACGCTAATTCTGGCTCATCAGACTTTCTCATCGACCCAAAGTGGGCTAAACTAGGGGTTACGTACGTTGTTGAAGTATCGACTCCATCCGCCAAAGAAACTAGTAGTCAATTCACGGTATTCAAGACCCTGGGATAAAAGGAGTCATGAATTTGATTTACTGGTTTAATAGAAGTACCTCGTGCACTGTCTTCCAACCGTGTATTATGACTTTTGTTATAATCAATAAAAAATGAGAGACGTTAAAAGTGAACATAAGGTTCAGAGTTCAAATTGCCAAATGTCACGGACTTGTCTTACAATTTTTACTCAACTAATCGGGTTACTAGTGACCTACTTTTACTTTCTAATCAATGAAAAAAGTAAAGTATTATCTTAAGAATAAATAGCACTAGCAATACTTTCCGTGATGCATCAAATTGATTGAAACACGGTATCTTGTTTTATTTACACCAAACCAAATGTTTGTTTAGCCTCGTTACCCATAAGACAGGACGCTCGCATCTTCACTCGAACCAAGAATCTTTGTTATAGAATCACGATTGTGTTTTTTTTCGGCGGCTTTTTGTCATGAATAATTACATACTATATAGAAATAAACAATCTGGAAATATAATACGTTTGCGAATATAATGGATAAACTTACAGTCACTACATGAACATTACACCTATTACTGGACTCAATAACAACAAACCTAAGATAACAGCTGCTCTTCTGAATGACTCTCCACCGATGCCTACAAACAAGTTTGTTAACCGCTTACAAATAACCAAAGTATCAAATCTTGCTTCTACAAGAGCAGCCTTTGCCCTTTAATATAATTCACTAGAGACACGAGGAGGATATTGACTAACATCCGCACCATAATAACAACATTTATGACGTCTGAAAGAAATTACATAAATTTGTGTTAAAGAGAAAGAGATTACTAAAAAGAAAATATCGAGAATCTCAATTCTCTTATCAAGTTTATTCCCACATTAAACCCCTTTGTCAACCTTATTTCAATTCAGTCTTACTAGAATCATCAATCCATGTAATCTTATAGATATTGATGATGGAATTTTATTGTTCTTAAAAAGCCACACCGACGAGCAATATAGAGATAAACATGTCACGTAATCTGATAGGGAGTGAAGAGGTCGAAGTTTCTTGTCAAGCAGTAAGTCGAATGCATGGGAATTTGAAAGCGATAAAATTGGAGACTATTAGCAGAATGAAAAAAACAAGATCAAAGTTAACGTACAAATTGTTATCATTATATATATGTCGTTGTAAATCCCGTTTGGGGTCCCTAAAAACCGCATTTATATTATGTAAATCCGGTATTTACATAGTGACGGGATTTACATACTGTATGCATTTTCGAAATTATCCTGATGCTTAACCACTCTCGTGCTCGAATGGATTACGATATTTGACTTTCTATAAACGACCGCAGTTCCCATATAAAGACTACCCATTGCCAACGTCTACGTCGCTAACTTTTTACACTCTGTTAGGAATAAACTGCTCTTATTGTCTGATAGACGAGTAGAAATTACTAACCATTTACAGTATTTGATCGCAGAAATAACTTCTGTGTGACATTATTGCGTCATGTACTAGTACCGAAAGAATCATAGTCCCAATATTAATATACGAACGATATCTTAATCTTAAGTCCGCCAAAATGGATAAGAAATGGCTAGACAAAATAATTGAAGACGGAATGGTTAGGTGCTATTCAGAAAGTGATGTCTTAAACCGTACGTTGGTCGGCCACGGTGGGTTCGGAATTGTGTACAAGGCAAAGTTGAAACATACTGGTATAACTGTTGCAATGAAGATGTTATCACTGAGCGCATACACGGACGAGCAAGAACTGTACAAGAAGTTTGTCAAAGAGGTTTGTAGTATTATTGTTGTTACTCGCTACGCTAAACTCGCCTATTGATTTTGCGTATGTTAGTTAAAAACTCACAAGAGAGTAGATGACCATCCAAACATTATACGATTCTTAGGTTTATGCAAAGGTCAGTTACATTGGATTTAGTCTTGTACGTTTCAAGAATCATGACTTATTTTATTTTAAAACAGATGCAGCCCAACACTATCACATGGTTTTTGAATTTGCTGAGGGTGGAAGCTTGTGCACATACTTAGTAAGTCATTCCAACAGCTTAACATGGAAAGAGAAATACAACTTGGGTCTGGATATTGCAAATGGTTTGAGATACTTGCATGCACTTGATATTGTTCACAAGGATTTGGTATGTTATTATCTATTTATATATATAAGGATTAGTATGGAATTAATAATAATATTATTATTAATATTTATTCTATAGTCTTCCACAAATGTTCTTATTCAAGGAGGCATTGCCAAAATAACTGACTTTGGTTTGTCAGGCATACTAAAACAAACAAATTCTACATCAAGAGGTGAAGGCAGCACAGCATATATTGATCCTGTTACTTTTGAAAATGAGTCATATAAACGAAGAAAAAAGTCGGACATTTTTAGCCTTGGAGTAGTATTATGGGAAATTTCTAGTGGAAAAAGCCCATGTGAAGGACGTACTCAAAGTTTTGAAATTGTTTTATATAGATTGAAAGGCTCAAGAGATCCTCCTTCCCCAGAAACACCAGAAAAATACATTAAACTATATTCAAAATGCTGGGATGGTGACCCAAACAAAAGACCATCAATTGAAGAAGTATATAAACAATTAAAATGTTTGTATGATGAGCAATTCTGTCAAACACTGAACTTGCGTGGGTGCAATATTGGAGACACAGAAATAATTGCTTTAGCAAAAGCTTTAGAATCAACCTCCCTAACCCAACTAAACAAAACTTTAAAAGAGATTGGATATGTGCATTTAGCAAATGCTCTGGAGCAAAATTCTTCTCTGACTTTTTTGGATTTGTATCAGAATAATATTGGAGACACAGGAGTAGCAGCTTTGGCAAAGGCTCTAGAATCAAATTCTTCTCTAACTTATTTGTATTTGGGTGTGAATCAAATTGGAGACACAGGAGCAACAGCTTTGGCAAAGGCTCTAAAATCAAATTCTTCTCTAACTTATTTGTATTTGTATCAGAATAATATTGGAGACACAGGAGCAGCAGCTTTGGCAAAGGCTCTAGAATCAAATTCTTCTCTGACTTCTTTGAATTTGAGCAGAAATGATATTGGAGACACAGGAGCAGCAGCTTTGGCAAAGGCTCTAGAATCAAATTCTTCTCTAACTTATTTGCATTTGAATGGGAATCAAATTGGAGACACAGGAGCAGCAGCTTTGGCAAAGGCTCTAGAATCAAATTCTTCTCTAACTTATTTGTATTTGTATCAGAATAATATTGGAGACACAGGAGCAGCAGCTTTGGCAAAG